AATTGACACAGCTAGAAGAAAGGCCCTTGTGAACATGACTCTGAATCCAACCAAAAATTAAATTTCTACCATGGTCGCTAACTCTCAATAGTTTGACTCTTTAAGTGAACCCACTTGTTGGGTTCACGAGATAAGTACAATTTCCTTAGAAATTGATAAGTTGGTTGGTATAGTACAATCTCTCGTTGCAGGCAAAACAAGTACAACTAGACTTTGTGGAATATGCACAATGTTAGACCATCCTACGGATTGTTGTCTGATGCTACAAGAAGAAGCTACCTCACAAGTAAATGCAGTGGGCAATTTTTAGGGACCTACCTAGAGACCTTACAATCATCATGCTAACTCTTATAATCCAAGATTGAGGGATGACCCAAACTTCAACTATGGATAAAACTGGAGACCCAACCAAGCGTATCAACTAAGATCACCTCCACCTCAATCGTATCAACTGTTGAAATCCTTATTAAAGTCCATCATCGAACGGTATACTTTGTTCAATGAGAAATTTTAGATCAAGACCGAAGCTCACGTTCAAGAGCTTGACAAACAAATGAGTCAACTATCACAAGTTGTGAGTCGATTGGATTCATAGGGGAGTTTAACATCTCAAACTGAACTGAATCCACAAGAAAATATTAGTGTCATCACTCTTCAAAGTGGCACTATTTTCACACCTAAAGTCCTAAAGAAAGTTGTCACAATATCCCAAAAGAAAAAGGAAGACAAAACACCATCTCCTTCATCATAAGTTCCTTCTACGTCATCTCTTGGTCCATCCCCATATGTCGTGCCACCTCCTTTCCAATTAAGGTTGGTGAAACATGATAAGCAAGTGGAAGAAAAATAAATCTTTGATCTATTCTTAAAAGTGGAGATAAATATTTCGTTTATTGAGGCAATCTGAAAAGTATTACAGCAGTCAATTTTTCCAACGGTTATTATAGAGTCCTTTAAATGCTTGCTCTTGAAGGATAAGTTCTTTCAAGTCTTCCACAAAGCCATAATGTATTTATAATGATTCCATGTTGCATAATTTATGCAATTTTGATAAGTTAAGTTGCATGAAAGAGTGATAGCCTAAGATTTGTTTGAGTAGGATATTGATATTATTTACAAGTACAAACTCATACAAGCTATGTGGAAGTGTTCCAATTGATGATAATATATGATAAGTGTCGAATAAGAGTTTGAAGGAAAAATTGATTATAGATTGAATTGGTGTGAAATTGTACACCTTGTTTGAATGTTGGTTATTAAGTACATGTTGGTTGAGTTTTATAGGTTCTTGGATATATTTTGATTGATGGATATAATTTCTTGTTGATTAAGTAATTAAATGAGGTTACTTGAGGTGTAAAAATATGGAATGTTGAGTTTTCAAGTCAAACAATTTGAAACTTCATCAGAAGTTTCCAAATTTTCTGACATGGTTTTCAGACTTTTAGGAAGGTTCCGAAACTTTGTATTAAAAAAACTTTTGGAGTTTAGGAAATTTTATGCTAGTTTCAAAACTTTGAAGGTGAGTTTTGAAATTTGTACTCTTAGTTTTGAAACTCCATGTTTAAAAGGTGAAAAATTACCCTTTTAGTCCCAGATTGATGATACTTTGTTAAATGGTCCAAGTCTTATATGATATAAATAACATGTATAATGTATGAATTATCCATGTAGTAAAGAGAACAAGAATTTTAAAGTGGGTTTTTAACATACATCTTTGACTTTTGAATAATTACCAATGTAGTCCCTAAACTTTTAAAATGATACAAACTTATCCCTAGTCATTTCTTAGGATTATTAATGGAATAATAAGATTATTTATGAATAAGAATAACATGATGATATAAGTTTGATGTAAAGTTTTGGTATAAGTATTGTTTTAAGTTAATTTGTGATTAAGTCCTTAATAGATCCATAATATGTATCCTAAGCTATGAAAGGGTAAATTGCATGTTTTAAGTTGGGCTAGTTTATAATATTAAGAGATATTTGACATATTTAATACGATAATTTTATTAAAATATGATGATTTGTACTTAGGTCCCTAAACTTTGAAAAGTTTAAATTTGGTCCTTAAGTAAAATAATACTTTTAAAATGAATGTGTTAATCCTCATCTGATTCATAAATGATAATATGATGAGGTTTAATAAAATGAATAATTCTTATAGTTTTAAATATTTACAAGCATATCTCTAAACTTTTTTAATATTTCAAAAGGTCCATAAGTAAGAAATCAGTTATGATTTGAATAATAAATGTTAAACATAATACTATGATTGGAATTATGTGATGATTTTGTTCTGTTTTGATGATTGAAAGTCGATGCTATGTATGTTTAATGATTTTTCATTTCGGTTTAAGGTCTACTAACATCCTCGATCTAGTTTTCGTTTAGGTCAAGTTGAAGAAGTTACAAGTCGAGAATTATAAATTTTGAATTAGTCAAGATTTAAAAATTTTAGATTACTCAAAACTTATTATGTTTTCTAATTTTATTTAGATAGAAAATTTGTAAGTATTAACTAATCTAGTAAGAATATTGTGTATAAATGTTGATGATATAACTATATGTTACACGTATATATTATATATAATATATATTTTTAAAAATATTTTAAATATATAAATTATCTTATGCTATATATATAATAATATTTTGAGTATTTTTAATATGTATATTTAATTATGATTTCTCTCTTTTTCTCTTACCTAAATTTTCTCTCAATATTTTTGTGTCGCCTCCCTCTTTTCCTTTGTATTTTGTTTAATCTATGGAGACACCAATCTTAATATTGATTGTCAATCGTCGGTAATTATTATTTTTCTTATTTTTCATAATATGTCATTTATTTATTTTCTTGAGTTTTTTTCAATTTTAAATAAGAATTTATGTCATTGTTAAACGCTTTTCTCTACTCTTATGACACTTTTTCTCTACTCTTGTGGCACATTTCTTATGGCTATTGGTTCTTTTTTCACATACCTCTACGGTCATGTTGGTGCTCGCACCAACATCCTCATGACATTTGTTTTCTAATTATTTTGTTGATGCTTAACATATTGTCAGATCCCCTCTTTGGTAAAAGATTGTTTGTCGATATAATCAAAATTATTTAGCGAAACAGTTAATCAAATTATTTTGTTCGCTCACCACTCCTTTATCACTTTGTAAAGCGTCTCATTCTATAAAGACATAGATTTTTATGAAGGTTACTGGGTTCTTTTGATGTTGGACGTCATTCTCAATGGAAAAGTTTCATTTTTCTTTGGATCTTTAGGCTTAATATTTTTGTTTTATGTACAAGTTTCTTGGTGACAGTTGTCTCCAATTTTCTTTGATTCTTTTCATTGATTATATTGATGAAATCTAGTTGTCATATATATATATATATATATATATATAATATTTAATAATTTAATTTTTTTTAATATTTTTATAATTAAATTTTTGAATATTTGAATATTTTTATATTTAAACTTTAATTTTTAAAATATTTTTTTATTTTTTCAAAAATTAACTAAGTGTTGAACTTTTAAAAAAAATAATTTGATAATCAAACAAGATCAAAAGGTAATTTAGTCCATCAGTCACATTAGTTATCATTAATGGTCATGTTAGTATTATAAACCGTCATGTTAGCATGTGAATTGCTACATCAGTACTTTAACAATCAACACTGAACAAATTGATCAAAATATCATATTAAGTTTGTTTTATGAGTTTGAGGGTCACATTATTCTTTTTAAGGTACAAGGGCCTCATGTATCCTTTTTTCCTAAAATTAATGAGAATTAAACAAACTCAATAATTACGGATGTGTTATTATCTCTTAAGTATTAGATTTAAATACAATATATGTATAATATAAACATTTATTACCTAAAATTAAATCATTACATAAATATTATCTTATATTTATTCTAAATTTATCGAAAACTAATAATAATTATCATATTTGAAAAGGAAACATGAACTAATACGTAATAAACCTGGAGAATAAAATAAACCATAACTTATGATCTGAGGTTTAGATTAAACCCACTATTTTTGTGGTCTTGTCTCTGTTTCCAGTAATGTTCATTAATGTTATTATTATTTAATAACAATGAGTAGAGAGCCTAAGAAATATTAGACTTGCAAGGCATGGGACCAAGATAGCCTCTATCAATCAGCATTTGGATCTCCGTAGGTGGTTGGTTCGTAGAGGATCGACATACAGTGTTGTGTAGAGTTGCGAAGCTTTGCAATGACTTCTGATAGGAAAGTATAGAGACTTCTGATAAGAAAGTATAGAGACTTAAAATCAGGGTAGTCGAGTAGTATGAGTCACCGTCATATGATGTAGTTTTTCTGTCTTCTTTTTAATGTCAATGACTTCTACTTTTTATACGTTTCTATCATTGGAATTTATGAAAGCTTAGAAGGTTTAGAACTAGGGTAACGGAGTAGTTTTGCCTCTGTTTAGATTTTAACTCATTTGACTTTATTCCTTCTCGTAGTTTGCTATCGCTGACTTCTGTGTATCTTTCTCTTCACTTTTCCTCTTTTTAAATTTAGTCGGTCTTACGTTTCTGTCTATATGCAGAGATTTTTACGCAGATATTTTTTTGCAGGGATTACTTCCCATTACAGATGCGTATATGAAGACTGTTATCTTTATTTTAATTTTCTGTTTACCGGAGGTCTTCCACGAAAACTGATCTCAACCTGATGTTGAAGACAGCCTACTACCCTACATCCTCTTACCCCATTAAATATGAGAATAGAGTGTTGGTGTTGGTGTAAAACTAATTACAATAAAATTCATTATATCTTAATTTATAATAAATATAATAAAATATAAACAAATTCAGAACCATAGTTTGAATGACTATTTCTACCAAACAAACTGAATACTCATTTATTAGCATTCATTTGGTTGGTTTTAGTACCTCGAAGAAAAAGTTTTTTTTATTTAGAAACATCGAAGAATAAGTTTAACTCAAAGAAAAATATAAAATAATAAAAATACACACACAAGATAAAATTAAAAAAAAAAAGTATCATTATGTTGACGCAATTATCATAAATTTACGCAAGAGTCATATTATTATTAGTAGGATGAGCCGGACACTGCGGCGGAGCCGGTAGGTTACAAGGTGCGCCATGGGAGAAGTAACAGACGCATTCGTCGAACGGAATCCCGCCACCAGCAGAGCGGCAGAAGGCTGTGATCTGCCCGACGCCGCGGTAGCAAGGGCGGCATGTTTCGACGCACCGATTCACTTCGGGACAGCCTCCACCTTTTACAGCTAGTTGACAACCGCCTTCCACCATTGAAACCATGTTTTGCGCTGAAGTCGTCAACAAAAAAAAAATAAAACCACCAAAACTCGAATATCTCTTAGTTAACCATCACAATATTTCATCGTAAAAACAACATTCATTGAGTGATTGAAAACATGTTCACACAGAAATTTACAAACCTGAAGTGAATACGAGGAGAACCAGAAGGAAGTTGAAGGCATGAGAGTGTCTGGAAATCTTCATATCTTTTTTTTTTTTTTTTGAGAGAGAGAGAGAGATTGTTGAAAGGAGAAAAGAATTTAAGAATGGGGTTTGGTGAGTAAATTTAGTAGGTAAAAGGGTAGAAGAAATTTGTGAACGTTTGAAACGCCATTAATGCAGCAATATTCAAAATGGTCCTTATTCAGATAGATATAAGCTAAATCCTGCAGGATGCAGTTATTCAGACAATTCTTGTTTGTTTTGAAGCAGATCTTGCGTTCAATTGGGGAGGAGCTAGTCAAGGACTAATAATTAGGTTCTGTTTGTTTGGCCGAAACCTCGTATTTCCTTCACGTAATTCGTTTTTCGAAAAATATTTTCTCATGTTTATTTCACGTAATTCGTTTTCCGAAAAATATTTTCTAGTGTTTGGTTGGAGGAAAACTGGTTAGTCAACGTAAAACATTTTTTGATCAACAGAATTTCCTTAGTGCTTTCTGAAAAATGACTTGTTGTCTGATTTTCTGTAAGTCATTTTCCGAACTTCACTTCAAAGAATAAATACTCAAAATAATTTTATTTTATGAATTTACTATTAATAAAATATTTTAATATCATTTTAATCAAAATATTAATTATTAAAATATTTAAAATATATTTATTAATATTTCTAAAAATATAATATTTTTTTAATATTATAATAAAATAATCAATTATATTATAATAATATAATATATTATTTTTTATTTTAATAATATATAATAAATTATTAATAAAATTTATATTATTTATTAATTTCATAGAAATAATATTATTAAATTATTAATAATGAATAATATTATTATATATTTAATATTAATCTAATAATCTAATAATATTTTAATAAAGATATTTAAAATATACTAATTAATATTTTTAAAATATAATATAACACTATTACTTTACTAAATAATTAATATAATTTATAATATTTTTATTTCAATAAAATATACCAATATAAATATTTTTATTAATAAATTTATAAAAAATAGTGTTTAATAATAAATAAATTATTTTAATATTTTAAAAATAATAATATTAAGTTTTATGATAAATAATATTATTTATTGTATTTAATATTTGTAATAAATAATTTTTAAAAAACTCATTAACTAGTGAAAAAAGGTTTAAACAACATCTTCCAAATATCGTAAAACGTTTTCCAAATGTTTTTCAGAAAAATGTAATTCATTTTACGAAAAAAATTTTCCGGAAAAAATTTTCCAGAAATGTAATTTTATTTTCCAAAATTCAATTTCCAGTAATTCATTTCCAGAATTCAATTTCCAGTAATTCATTTTCCAGAATTCAATTTCCAGAAAACTAATTACAACAAATTAAACTGATCCTAAGTTTTAAATAATTGGATACCTTTAATGCATGGTTAGGGCGCACTTCCTTTCACCCTATGGATGTTGGTTTGTTTCTACTCAAGAGCGTTTTCATGTCTCTTTACTTTCTATTCAATCATGTGGTTACACATGTCACTTTCTGGTTGGATAGAAAAGTTATTTAATAAAATAAAATAAAATTAATACGTAAAATCTTTCAATCATGTATTGACACGTGTCATGATCTTATGCTGACACATATTAAATCTCGATTAAATGATTAATTTATTAAATTAAATTTAAATTAGGATCAAATTAAAAGAATACATAAATATTAAGGACAAAGTGTATAAATATACCAATTTTTTAACTGATACGTCATCGTTTCCGTCAACCGTTAACAGTTAATAGTTTAATTGACAAAAATTAAATAGTTACGTTCCCTGGTTGACAAAATTGAAATATCGATGATAAAAGTAATAAGACTAAATAGTTAGGTGGTCAAAATTGATGTATGCTCGAAAGAAAAATCTTTTATAAATTTTGTTTTGCATGTGTGAATCTCCTTTGAGAGGATTCTTCTAAAGGAGGGAAACAATGATGGAGTGAATGAAGTCTAAGCCTGACTTATTATGTGTTTAAGGTAAGTGTTTTCCGCTGCTAGGTTATGTTAATTTGAAGATACCCATTGAGATGAGTCTTATGTGCCTCTGATGCTATGATATTATGTGTGAATGTTAAATGATATTTAAATGTGTCATATTTGATGCTATTATGTGTTCAGAAATGAGCTCTGAAAATTATCTTTCTATGAAATCTAAGAACTTCCAAAGAATATGACTTTCATATGGACATTTTTTAATCAGCCACAAGCGCATAGACCAATTTTTTTAGATAAGACTTATGATTAGAAATGATCATGAGTTGGATTTTCGGTTAACTTAATTTGATCGAAAATAAATATACACCCGTTATCTAAAATCTATTCAACTTGGGTTTTAGGTGATTTCACGCGACCCAGATTCGACCTATCTTTTTTAGATAAAATCTGAACTCAATTCAATCCAATTAGAAACAAATATATTTATAAAAAAATATTAATTTTATTTGATAAAAATAGAGATCTAGAAAAAATAATATAAATATGGGTACTATTACAATTATCCCTAAATATATAAGATAAAATTACATTATTTTCCGGGTTAAGTCCTTTATTTTCCACTCTAAGCTCGAATATATTCTCTAAAAAATTTGACCTAATCCGAACACGAAATTAAAAAAAATGACTCAATATTAAATATGTTAAATTTGAGTCTTATGTCCATCTCTACCCCTGATAGACATACATGATATGTCAGAACGAAATCTAAAATTCGAATTCCTGTTAACATTCAAATAATCACTATGAGCCCATTAAAAATCACTATAAGTACTCTTAAACATAATAAAAGAAACGGGGATCTTTTTATTCTCTAAATATTGATCAATGATCGTTTTTTTTTATTGAATGCGACTTTCCATTCAAATTGAAAAAATTAGTGTTTATTATTGATAAAATCCACTAGTTCTCATCAATAATATATGTGTTTGTGATCATATTTATATTTACTAATGGTATTCAGTTAGCCCTGCTTTATAAGAATACATGAAGTGGTTATGCATGGTCAAAATATGCTTTAAATGCTACTTTAGTATTTATGGTTATATAAGGGATGCCATGTGATTCAATCACGATGGGTGTAAACTACGTGCTAAGTGTGTGAATTCAATATTCTCAGCTGACATTTATTTTTTTAGATGGTGAGTTAAATATTTATTAGAAATAATTTTCTTTTCGTAGGTCAAAATTGTTCTAAAAAAATATAATGACATGTTGAGGTATGAAATAAATTGATATTGAAAAAAGAGAATTCGTAAAATTTTATAAAACTTTCGCGAATAATGATATAATCAAATCATAATAAATATGAAATTAAAATTTAAGATTGGATTATATTAAAATTATCGTGAATATTTAAATTTATTGATGGAGATTGTTATATAAAGTGGTTGTAATCTTTCAAGAATATATGTTTGCTCTTGTCATAAAAGTTATTTGATGTGAATAAGAGTGTTATAAGTTAATTTATTTCTTAGGCACCAGTACCTCTATATAACCTAAATTTTAAGTTATTCTTTTAAGTATTTATAATTAAGTCCCTTATCAAATTATAAAATTATATCTACAACGTATGATATCTATACTTAATTCCATGATACTTTAATACCCATGATAAATAAAACAAATTTATTACTTAATTTTATGTCATACTTTATAGGCTTATATCACAAATAATCGATCACTTAATTAAGTACATAAAATATTTTTTAGTCAAAATAAATATCTAAAGTTATTTTTTTGGTCAAAATAGGTACCCAAAGTATTTTATGTCAAAATAAGTACCTAAAGTTATTTTTTGTCAAAATAGTTAACTAAAGTATTTTATGTCAAAATAGGTACCTAAAGTATTCAAGATTTTTCATCTAAGTTCTAAAAAAATTGACATGTAACATTAACTAAAGAATACTTTAGGTACTTAGATAAAAAATGAATATTTTAGGAACCTATTTTGACCAAAAAAGATAACTTTAGGTACTTATTTTGATAAAAAAATACAAAATGTACTTAAATGAAAACGATAATATACTTTAAGTACTTACTTGTTATATAAGCCTACTTTGTAATGATATTCTACATTATATATATGTGTCCATAATTATAGATTTTAATCGATCACTATCGAAATCAATTATTCAAAAAAAATTCATGTAAAATTGTTTTTTCTTATTCGAATGTGATCCTCACACATATAGTCATGAATTTAGTCCTTCAATTCTCCATCATATATGTATATAACATACAAAGAAAAATATGAATATATCTATATATATCGTATATAGTTATAGAAAACTACTTAAATTGAAATTGATTAATACTAAAATATTATAAATATTTATAATTAAATTTAAATAAAAAATCAAATAAATCAATTTGATTTAAAAAAAATAAAAATAAAATTTGAGTTAAAAACTAATATTCATCAATTCAACTTAACTCAAATCTTTCATTTGATATTAGTCGAGTCGAGTTCGAGTATCATTGAGTTCAACTCAACTCAAAAACTTCAAAATGAAGGTCAACTCGGATCGAAAACTTTTGAGCCTAAAATTTTTAAACTCAACTCGAACTTGAAACCATGAATTAAAGCTCGCAAAATCTCAAAATGAAAAAAATATTAAACTTAATTATAGCTTTAAACCCAAAAGTGAACTTAAACCTAAAATAAAAAAAACTTTATACTATGTTTTTTAAATCAACACATAAATGTTAATATTATTAATAATTTGTTTTTTTTAAATAAAATCTTAATATATTATATTTTTAAATTGTTCGTTAACTTTTCGAGTTGAGCATCAAGTAATTTGTTTAGACTCTTTAGGAACTCGAGTCGAGTTTTAGCTCAAGTTAAATATATTCAAATTAAATATTTATCAAACTTTAACCAAATCAATCTTAAATAACTCATAATTTATTTCATCTCTTAAATAGTGACCCCTTTGAACAGTAAGATATTTGTTATTGACCCATGTTAATCGTCATCCTGAGTTTCTGACGCAGTTCTTCTTCAACAATCTACAGCTTGGGCTAAATATTCACGGTCAAACTTAATTTGCCTATGCCACACGAACACGTGGACCAGGCGCTGTTAAGACAAGTGTCATATTCGAACAACTATTTATATACATGACCCAATGTATTTGAAATAATATATTGACTCAAGCCGGTTACCAAAAAAGTCGGTGTAATATCTTATTGTTTGGGATAAATTACTTACTGACCACTTAATTATAAGATTAGTGTTAATATTACCATCATACTTTTAATTTTGACAATATGATTACATAATATTTAAGTGATTTCAATATAGTCATCTACCGTTATTCAATTACAGTCACATCAGCTATGTTATTTATTTTATAACGGCAAATGACTAAATTGAAATCGCTTAAATAATTATATAATTATATTACCAAAATTAAAAATATAATAATCATATCGATATTAGTTCTTTAATTAGGTAGTCATTTAACCATCCCGCAACGATGGAACATATTCCTAATACTTGTTAGGGCAAGTTACATAAAATCATCACTTAATAATTTCACTCTTATTTTATTCACTAAAATTTAATTTTTAATTTAATTATTAATCTTTTAAATTCTTAATTTTTTAGTCATTCAATTGTTATCTATCTATTTGTAATTGACTTACTAATTTATATTAATTTTTTCAATTGTCCATCAAGTCAATCGTCATTATCGACAATTGTTAGACTCAAAAATTTTAAATTGACCAATTTTTATTTCCTAAATTCAAATTCGACTTTCATTTCATTCGAATCCATAAACCTCAATTAAACCACAAACTTCAAATCTCAATCAAACCCTAGAACTAAAATCACAATCAAACTCTAAATCTCGTAACCTATTTTCCATCATAAATCCTATTTTCACACTCAACACCCTATTCATATGGTGAAGAATCCCAACAATGACAAAAAAAAAAGCCAATAAAAATAATAATATATCTTAAAATCATGATGACCTGATAGTCAGATGCTAAGATCTATGAAGAAAAATATTAAAAATTTAAGATAAATTTAATATTTTTGTGGAGTCTCTATGATAAACTAAACATGAAAACAAATATTAGATTCATGTTTAAAAGGACAATATGAGTTCAATGAGGAATTTTTGGACTCGTCGATTTTCAACGATAATGGCTACTAGTAATTAAAACAACAATCAACATAATGACCGAAGTGAGTTTGATTAGGCTGAGGGAGAGAGAGAAAGTGAGAAAGAAAAAGAAGAAAAAAATGATTCTTTTTAATAATGATCTAAAATAACATCATTTTGGACTAAATTTAATTTTCATATTAAATCGTTATAAATTATTGAACGATATGCCGATCAAAGTAGGTGTAATTCAAAAGTTAAGTAGTTGGATTGAAATTTTTAAATTTTAATGATGGAAATAGGACTGAGGAGAAATTTGAGTGATGCAAAAGTAATTACCCTTACATTATTCTGAAAATTTTTCCCAGTCTTACATATTGGCCACATCAACAGATATCGCTCATCATCTAATTTTCTTTGCAAAGAAAAATAACAGAAAAAATGTTAGCAGTTTTCGAGAAATCGATTGCCAAGAGCCCTGATGCTCTTAATGTTCCCGGCGACTCTGGAGCAGCTTCAGCGCTCAACAATGGCTTCTTGGCTGCCCATTTCGCCTCTATTCATCCTGGCTCCGTCACTGTCAATCTTGGTTCTTCGGGTTTCATGGCCTACTCTCTCGAAAAGCAAAACCCACTTCTCCCCAGGTCTCTTTTTTCATCATCTTTAAGATTTTATTATTGGGTCTTTTTTCTTTCAGTTGTTTTTACTGATTCAATCATGAATATTCTTTGCTTGTTTTCTTTTTCCTTATTGTTTGCTCTGATTATGTTTTTTTTTGTGTGGTTCAAATTTGATACAAAGATTTTATATGTATTGTTGATTTGCAGGAAATCTAAGCTCTCGTGTGTGTATTTTTTTTTAATTTAGTTGTTACATCTTTCTTCACACTACTTGAAATCTTTTGTTTTTTCACTTATGGGATTTTGAGGGTGAAGTATCTAGATATAGCTCTTTTCAAAATTGCAGTTTAGTCCTTGGACATTAGAACTAAACAATTTAATCCCAAAATACTTGATGTCCGTGCAAATAAGTAGAATCGATGCTTGTGTTAATCCCTAAATATGATTTCTTTTATGATGAAAGTTTAAGATAGGTTGACTAGATTTGGGGTGTGGGTGAGTGTTGGATGCAAATATTTCCTCCCCATTCTCTTAGAGGCAGGGATGACGCAAGATTGTATTATAGCAGTGCAAACTTAGGAATTTATATTAGAAATTTAGGGTGTTTCAAGCTGCAAAATTAGATTATCAATAGAAAATACAAAAAAAAATGCTTAAATTATATATGAATTTGAAATTGGGTCCGACCGCACTCCCTTGGTCTATGCTTAGAGGGTCATCTCCCCATACATAGATCATGGGTGTTGGGCATGGATTTGATTAAACGTGATCATATTATGGATGTTGTTGAGCCGGAAATGTTTCTGGATTTTGCATGATTATGTTAATAATTCCCAATGTCAAGATTTTTCATAACAAGATTGCTACATGTTTGTTTGTTTTGGTTTATTGTTTTCGCTATGCAACGAAGATTTGGAAGCTTACTTTTCATGATTTTTCTTATGCTCCCAGAATCTTTGCTGTTGTGGATGACATTTTCTGCTTGTTTCAAGGCCACATCGAGAATGTTGCTGTTCTTAAACAACAATATGGCTTGAACAAGACTGTAAACGAGGGAATCATCGTCATTGAAGCTTACCGAACACTCCGAGACAGAGGTCCTTACCCTCCTGATCAGGTTGTAAGAGATATCCAAGGGAAGTTTGCTTTCTGTATCTACGATAGCTCTTCAAAAGCCACATTTATAGCTTCAGTAAGTGAATCCGAATTCGTTTAGGTTTCTTCTTCGATATGGTGTAGTTTTTCACATTTATCTTCTGCAGGATGCCGATGGAAGTGTACCTTTCTTCTGGGGAACTGATGCTGAAGGCCATCTTGTTCTTGCGGATGATACGGAGACCGTCAAGAAAGTTTGCGGGAAGTCTTTTGCTCCATTCCCGAAAGGTAAAACATGGCTCCATAACATATCTGTATCCAGCTATATAGGAGCATGAAAACTTCGATGCCTGACATTTTTCTGTTCCCCCATTTACTTTTCAGGGTGCTTCTTCACATCCTCCGGAGGGTTAAGGAGCTACGAGCATCCTCTGAACGAGTTGAAGCCGGTGCCGAGGGTGGACAGTTCAGGTCATGTCTGCGGTGCAACTTTCAGCGTCGATGTAGAGGCGAAGAAGGAATCTACTGGTATGAAAAAAGTCGGAAGTGCTGCAGATTGGTCTGCAAACTACTGAGCATCGAAACTTCTCCTGCTCGGCACAATGCTTGGTATTGGTAAGCGTCCGGATTCTATCCATCTTTCATAGTCTTCAGTTCCGAATTTCGCCATCTCAATGACTTAGCTGAACATTGTGAGTTTTCAGACTCGAAAATTGTTCTGTATTTTCAGATTAAGATGACATTTTAAGCAGAGCAGCTGTACATGTTTGATTACCATAAAAAATTAGATTGATATGGTACACGACATGGAATAATATTTCTCATCATAAATGCTTCTTAATATCTTTTGTCAAAGTAATGTTATGAATGATATATTGATATGCTTATGTTTTTTTTCTTCTTTTTCATTTAAAAAAATGGAGGTTATTGAGTGAATATTTAAGGAGAGATTTTTTTTATAAAAAGAATATATTTTTTAATCTTTTTATTAATGTGTTTTATTATATCAAAGAGTTTAAAAATGACCTTGATGATTTTAATATAATTTTTTAAATTAATTTTTAAATGAAAATTTTAAGTATTTTTAAGGAAATTCTTGTATTTAGATAAAAGAATTTTCTTTGATCATATTGATAAAATTTTCACACAATAAAAATCGCTCTAGAAAATTTTTTCACTATTAAACCAACAAGCTTCTTTTGTTTAGTCTTCCACAACTTAGAAGAATAAGAAGAATAAAAAATATTAACGTGATAAAAATTTAGAAGAATAAGAAAATGAATATAGAGATCTAAACCATGATGAAAATGGCTTGAAAAAGTCTCTATTCATGATTAAACCCTTCTAAACCTTCAAGAGCTCTCACCGCCGTCCATATCTAGGATGACAATGGGTCGGGTCGGTCGGATCTTTGTCTACTCCGATCCAAAAAAATCATAATTTGACTTTAATTCGACTCTAATTTATTATTATTTAATCCAATTCGAATCAGACTCTAAAAATAAAACATAAATTTGATTTTAATCTAACCTGATTCCGATATATATTATTAAAAGTAAAATAAAAAACTCAAAAATATACATAAAAAATAATCAAAGACAATGACACCAATGTTTTATCATTTTTAACTACTAATTCGTTAAAAATTACATCCGAGTCCAATAGTCGATAGTCTTGTTTGATGGAGTTTGGTAAACATGTGTGAGGACCATTGTACCTTGTGATAACCCAAGCATCGTCCCTCTAGATTTTTAACACTCTGATCTTCCACTTGCACATTGGGTTAATTTTAAAACACTTTGCATATATGGTTTTCTAGTTGGACTCTGCAACATGAACTTTGATGTTATACTCTTTAATAACATAGTTTTATTTTTTTCCTCTAAATTGCATTCCAACTAAAAATTCACTTGAAATTTTGAATCATTCATCCATGTGGTATGGAGTTAAATGTGGCATGTATGGGAGTTCATTTGCCATTGTCGCATTATAATCTATCTTGTACATGAGAGGGGTAGGTTGATACGATGTTGTAACTTCATCAATGGCCAAATCATGTACACCATCATCGCAGAAATGGTCATCGTCAGTTAAAATGGGTTCGTCAGTTAAAATGGGTTCCTCAGTTTCTTTATCTTCACTAGAATTGCAATGCCTCAAATATTGAATCAGGGACTTTAGTGAAAAGTTTTAAAATTTGAAGATTTATTTGATTAAATGATAAAAGATGAGAAAATGATTTGGAATAGTATTTTAGACTAAATGGTAACAATAGATGAATATAGAGGGCATTTTGGTCCTTTAAATGAGAATGAATTTAAAATTCATTCTTAATAAGGTATTAAAGAAAAGGGGAGGAGGAAAAAGTAAGTTACCAAAAGCTATCTCTTTTCTTTCTCTTTCCCGTGGAAAAACTCTCCTCTATAGCCAAAGGTAAGATTTTATTTGGCTAGTTTTTCCTTTCGTTTTTTGTTAAGAAACATAGAAGAACATCCCAACTTACTTCTATAAATAATAGAGGTAATTTGACATTCAAAATCATGAAGCATTTTGGTGAGTACAGAGCGAACTATTTTTTCGCTTCAATTGAGCTCAAATTTTAGGCTTCAATCGAACTTCTAATTTTTTTTGAGTTCGAGCCTTTTCGAGTTCAAGTTTTAATACTATATTTCGAGTTCGAGTTGAACTTGATAATTTTTAGCTCGTGAGTTTTTGAGTCGAGTTGAGCTTACTTTTAAAGTTTTCGAGTTCGAGTCGAGCTCAGCAATACTCGAATTTGACTTGGTTCGTTGAACAAACGACGTCGTTTGATTTAATTTTTTTTTAAAAGAAAAAAAGTGAACCGGCAGTTCAAACCGGTTTTGCCAGTTTTCAGCCGGTTCATTGCCAGACCGGTTTTGTGAGGTAACCGGACCGGACAGGCCACCGGTTCACGGTTCAACCGGTTGAACCGGCCGGTCCGATCCGATTTTGATAACCATGATATTTTGATACATGATCACATTGCATATTATGATACATGACATGAATTCATATTATATGCATTATGTGACATGAATATGCAAGAAAAGTTATAAGAGCTATGTGATAAAAGTATTGAAAATGATATGTCTATGTGATAAAGATATAGAAATAATATGTCTATGAGATACATTATGTGAATTGTGAAAGCCCATGTTATGTAGATAAGAATTATAGGTATAGTTGGCATGCCAAGTGTAGAGGGTCTACGCAGTCCTTCGAGACAATTCTACGTGGTCCTTTGGGACATATATATATTCTTTGGAACATGTATAAGGTATTTTGAGACACCTACTTGATCCTTGGTATATGTATATGATTCTTAAGAAATTTCTATGTGGTCCTTATGGACAAATCTTATATGGAACTACGGTGCAATTCTACGCGGCACTTCGGTGCAAATTTATACGAGCTGTGGTGACATCATAGTGCACAACCTCACAGTACTCACATACTTCAGGTTCTCAGTATTGTATCATGGACTATTGAACTTATTATATGAATTCATGATGGTTAATTTGATCAGATTATTTATGCAATTTGCATGAATTGAATATATGATTTCATGATATTACATTTCATTATGACATTTTCATTATATTTTATTGTCATTATTATTATGCCTCACTAAGTCTATGACTTAGCGTGTAAGCGTTTTACACGTAGGTATCGAAAAGCAGAGAGATCCATTATAAGCTCAACAGAACAACATATCTCCACTTGAAGGTCAAATCAGAAGTAGATTAGATAGTATGTCTTATTATGTGATAAATAGGTTTTCATGTAAACAAAGTTGGTAAATTAAGTATTTATGCTTTGATCGAATTTTGTAATGTTTTAAACATATTTATATAAATGTAAATGTATAGTAATGAACGGTTAAATTTTTACAAGTTTTATGTACGTTTTACGAAAGTACTGTAGCAGTATTGTAGCAGTGCATCGATACACAATTTATATTCGATATTTTTTGTGCATCGGTACACTATAGCAGTGCATCGGTACACTATAGCAATGCATCGGTACACTGTAGCACTGTTTCATGGTAATGTTCATTACTGTTCACGGTATTGTTCATACCGTATAGTATTGTTCATAAATACGCTTTTGCCTTAAATTTTTATAATGAAGCATAATTTAATAGTATATTATTTTATTTTCTTAATATGAGTTCAAATGTTTTATTATTTTGTAAGAATATTGTTTCAAAAAGTCAATGTAACATCTCGAACTCGTATCCGGGTCGGATACGGGTTGGGGTGTTACAAATATTCCTATAGTACCAATACCAAATTTGGCTACAGGAATCTGAATTGCTATGCTAGTATCAATACTAAGCTTAGAGTATCTATACCAAATAAACTATTATTGATACTCCTAGTCCAAAACACCTTTTATTTTAAGCTACAGAAAAATAATATCAATACTGATCATTCAGTACTGATACTTAAGCCTAGAAAACTATGTTTCCCACGAAAATATAACCCTCAACCCAACCATTTGTCCCTTTAAGGCTATTAAATGTTATGTAAAGCTTATCAGAGTTGTAGGGGATCATAATAGATCATTTAGCATGTTTTGTTCACCTTAAATCACCAAAAAACTATAATCAAATGGAAATGCACATACAAGTAAGCAAACACATTTAAGGGCCTACATATGGTATAAGTGAGTCAAAGGTGCATTACCTTACTCCTAAGCTGCAAAATAACACCTTCAGCTTACCCAAGAACAAACTTCTCCTTGATCTTGCCCTTTGAGTTTTCTCCCACTTCTTTCACTAATCAAAAAGTAATACATGAGTTACCCATTCATTTAAAAACTTGATAAGAAGTTAAATAAACTTTGTAGGCCTAAATCTACCCAAAACGAACTAATTTCACAAGGGTTTTCCAAAACCTCTTTATACCCTCACTATGATTTTCAATGGCCAAAACTTGAAAAAGAACAGTTGGACGATAGCTTATAGGATGAGGATTTCAATTTTTACCTTGATATTTTCATATAAGGGATGAAACTCACAAAGTTCTCACTTTTTCTCAAGTTATGAAGAAGAAGAAGAATTAAGGTTGTTTGAATAGGAAGAGGAAGATGACAAAGGTTGATGAAAAAAAGATATGAGGAAGCCTTCTCTCATTGACATCATATTCTTAATTGAAAATTAGCCTTTGTAACAATTGAGGGGTTATTTGCTCTTCTAGTCCTCCTTATTTCTTGTTCAAAACAAAACACCCTTTTTAAGCCTTAATGGGCTCAAGCCTAAACCAAAACAAGTATAGCTTAACCTAAAGCTTCTAAATGGTTTCTTAGTTTATATAAAGCTCACTCTGGTTTTTTTTGGAAACTACTAGACTGAAAATTGAGACTTTACAATACATGTAAATTTTATTTTACGTTATAGGTATAGATTATCATGCATGGATGCCATGGAGGGAGGGGAGTACATCGGAGATGCATGGGAATTAGCCATGCGACTCACCTATTGTAGCATGGAGGATGCATGGAACACCATGCGACTTACCTGGGTTAGTGGTAGACGCTGGAAGTGCAATGTGTCTCCCCCTCGTATTGTAGCATTCGCCAAATTCCAGCAATAATCCACCCACAACATTATTTGAAACATTTTTTCAACAACATTATTATAAAAATTTTGCCCTTTTCTTTCACTACCCTTGAGTTTTAAGAATAAATATAGAAGAAAAATTGAAGGAGAAAATATAAGAAATTAAATGGAATCAAGTGATATTTTATAGGAAAAGATGAAAAGAAATAAAATAAATGTTAAATTACATAAATTATTATTAATATTTGATAAAA